TCTTAACAATCGTTTAGAATGACACAAAGGAAGTTTTTGGAGGGGAATTGCCAGAAGAAATAAAGACACAACATAACTTCAACACAACACGTCTTCAACACAACATAAAGAGTTGTAACAGAAACAAATATTTTATATATACGATATAAGATTACGAAAAATTATCTCACACTAGTTTAACCCTTTGCGGTCGGCCGATTTCGAAGAGATCGATAAACATTGATATCTGTAAGTTGATCTAAACAGTTGAATCTAGCATCGGGAAGATAGTTTTCTTTCATTATCGCTAGCCTCGTTTGCCGTGCTGCACGCCAGGCGATCATGAATGCCAGCCTGGCGGCACCGATTTCTACGACGACTTGCGAATGCCGCCACAATGGCGGCATCGACCGCCCAGGGGGGTAATAGCACTCCTATATATTTCGTAACAATATTTTTACTCCTATTTTCATTGCAATTATTATATAAAAATTTTCTCATACACTATATATTTTATAGATAAGATTTACGGTTTTTTTGCAATTTAAATCACTAATAACATATTTAACAAATACTAATATATTTAAGAAATGCAGTTTTATTATTTATTAATGTTTTCTGTTCCATTTTTATGCTTACAGAATAAAAAAACCATACAGAAGGGATTGAACCTCAGTCGTCAGCTCGGTAGTCCATTACCTTCGCTCCTGCGCTACGCCGCTTCGTTGAATATCCTTCTTACTAACTCGTACACTTTGTTAGCTCTTTTCTTTGGATCGTTTTTTCTCGAAAACAAAGAGGTATTGCGTCGTATGCTATTACCATGAGTTATTAGTAGTCAAATACTATTAACTCCGTAAGTTTCGTTCCAAACCGTTTCCCGGTCGATGCGTCCTCTCCTTGTCAGAGAGAAGAAGGAGAGGGGACACAGGCCGCTTTTAGCCGAGCCCAGTGTGAGGTGCCCTCTGCACAACCATGCACATGAACTACGATGCCAATGTCCACGGCTCTTTTCTAATTCCCCCCACCACGCACGCACACATAGCTGCTTCAGTCTATCCGTGTGGCCCACGCGGTGGACAATCGTCGGCGCGCCGAGCGATAGAGAGATATCATTCCCTCCTTCTCGCTCTCGTGTTCGCTCAGCGAGCGAGTGAAAATATCTTTCCCTGTTTCTCGCTCTCGTTCTCGCTCAGCAACGCGAGCGAGGCTAATTCCTTCTGGGCTATAATCTGACAAGTTTGCTGCCAAACACGGGGTCACTGATTTTGACGAGCTTTGGCAGGAATGTAATATAGGTTCAGCAAAAGCTACTGTTAATCGGAGACGATGCAGCACTCAAGCATTTGGGAGAAATTACAAATTGAAATTTCGCGATTTTAAGTATGCTCTGTTATTCTAACATTTGCAGAGTTATTTCCAAATGACGGCGTAAGACAGCAGGCTCTACGTGGTATGGTACTCGCCAGATTGCGTGTTCGCGCCTAGATGTGTCTTGTTACTTCTTTTTAATTTATGTTTTTTTTTATTCTTACGAATAAAAATATATACATATATATATATATAAATTTTATATACAAGGTGTCTCAGAACTTTGGGACACGAGCTCCGTAGGGACATAGAACTAAGTGAGAGGAATAAAAAAGTCCTTACCATAATGTGAAAATCGTAATAGTTTTTTAGTAATAACCATGTAAAGTTTGGCGTTTTCCACGCCCATCGCGGCCTATAGACGCTCCGCGGCAAGCTGTGTGCTATTACGTTTGCCACAGCTTATGATGCGGCGAAACGAATATTGGGAAGGAACGAGAAATCAGCTTTTATGCCTCCGACTGTTAACTGACTTTATTTTATAATTCTCAACAAGAGTGTAATACCGCTCGAAAGAGAGAGGGGCTAGGTGTTCGCTTGAGGAGTGCTAGCAGGGAACTGATCTGGTGGTGATAGGAAAAATGACGGTAAGGAAGGGAAGGGAAAAGATAAAATTCTCGCGAGGGTAGTCATGGCCGATGATGAGAGATTCGGCAGGAATTCGGGGATATGACATCTATTAGTTTGTTATTTCAGGATGAGATCGGTCATCAGGATTAGATAAGACAGGTATGGAGGAATATACGTCGTGATCGCTGTTACGATGATTCACATAAGATAATAAAACTATATACATTGCGGCATGTAACACCTCCCCCCCTGTGTGTCCCCCAGTGTGGAGTCCAACGTTATAAAATAATATGACGTGTAAGGTAGCTAGATTACAATATAATGCTTAAAGCTAGAGTACAATAGTCTTATAACCTATATATAAAAAGTTGAGATACTATGTGGAATGACATGCTAAATATAACGAAACTGGTATCTAAACCGCATAAAAGCTAGATTGATTCTTATAAATTTGACAATCGCTGATTATGTGAACGTGAACGTTGGCTTCGGCTGCGATTAACGAGCTCGTCTAAACTTATGTTTTGTGCTGAAGTTTCGATAGTAGGGACTGCGGAAAACGATGGATGGACATTCTGGCTACGGATGTTAGTATTAAAATAATTTTGAAAATACTGTGTACAACCTTTTTTCGGTATGCAACACAATCTAAAGATGTTAAGACATTTGTCGATTAACGAGCATTTTACAATTAAATACAAGCAGACTAGAACGATAATAGTATATACTATGTAGTATAGCCAACTCATCGTTTTTTCCTGAAAGGTTCTAGTGCGATGGTGCTTTCTCAACTCTTCGGCCTCTTTATATAAGTCTTGCAGACTCGAGCTGGCAACTTTTAGCAAATTTAAGTCTAAATGCGAAGTTTTACTGATAGTTATTATCGGAAGGTCGATTACATTTATATTGGGTGAGTGCAAAAGTTCGTGCGGAGTTTCAATAGATGGAGTTATAAGCGTCGTAAAGTGTTGTCATTAATACTTCCATCTACATATTATATAACGTTCGAAAGGTGACGTCTTCAGCTGTTATTAAAAAAAAATCATTTGTTTTCATACAAACTGCTTCGAGAAATATCACTTTAAAAATGAGTATCGATAAGGTGCATTTACGGCATGTTATGCTTTACGAGTTTCGGAAGGGAAAAAACGTTGCCGCAGCCGTAAAAACATTCAGGATGTTTATCAGGATGAAGCACCAGCTAAACGAACTGTGGAAAAATGGTTTGCTAAATTTCGGCGCGGAGAATTTAACCTTAAAGACGAGCCACGCTCTGGTCGACCTTCTGACATTGATGACGATGTTTTGCGTACTTTAGTGCTCAATAATCCGCGAATTTCAACAGAAGAAGTTGCTACAGCACTAAACGTTGACTGATCAACCGTTTTTCGGCGTTTAAAAAAGATGGGATTCGATTTGAAGCTCGATATATGGGTGCCCCATTTGCTGACCGAAAAGAACAAAATCAAGCGAATTTCTGCAGCCGTTTCTTTACTCGGGCGGCTCAATAACGAGTCGTTTTTGGATCGACTAGTGACGGGCGATGAGAAATGGGTCCTCTACAACAATGTTCAGCACAAACGGACATGGAAACAATCAGGTGAGCATAGTGACGCAATGCCAAAGGCCAGTTTGCACCCGATGAAAGCTCTCTGTTTGGTGGGATTGCAAGGGCATAATCTATTTCGAGCTTCTCCCCGCTGGCGAAACGATTGATTCGGACAAGTACTGTCGCCAATTAACCAATCTGAATCGAGAAATAAAAGAGAAACGTCCGATTTTGTCAAATCGCAAGGGAGTCGTCTTTCATCACGACAACGCCAAACCACACGTTTCGAAAAAGACGCTGCGCAAACTGAAGAGCCTGAAATGGGATGTCTTAACGCATCCACCGTATTCTCCTGATATCGCACCATCTGACTATCACTTGTTCCGGTCATTGCAAAATTATTTAAATGGAAAAAACTTTGACTCTTTGGAGGCCTTAAAAAACGGCGTCTCTTCGTTCTTCGAATCTAAACCGCGCAGTTTTTATGATCGAGGCATCCGTATGCTGCCAGAACGTTGGGAAAAGATTATAGAAAACGATGGAGAATATATCATTGATTGAATAAAGATTTTTGTTTGCCTAATCACTGTGTGACTTTTACTCACAAACTCCGCACGAACTTTTGCACTCACCCAATATTATGTTTCTTAATGTCCTCGCATAGTTTTTGGGTACTGAGGTTGACGTTAGGAATAAAATCTTTATCCACAGTGTATACAACGCTAGAAGTCTTACTATTTAACAAGGCATTATCTGCAATGCCATCGCATTCTGATGCCAGGGTAGCCAGTCCAGTGCCTTTTAACTGAGTTTGCCACGGTTTGCCGTCTGGGCATAAGACATGCAAGGTTTCTTCGCTTGGTGCGGTATATAACCAGGAATTTGATGCTTTTAATTGATGCCACACTGTAGTGCGGAACTTCGTTATCCTGACATCACATTCGTGGAGTATATTTTCTAACCTAGCCGTTTTTAACAATATAGATTCGCAAGTATGTATGCTTGAAATTTGATATAACAGATCAGTTTGTTTACAAATTATAATATTGTTAATATTCTTATAATTAGAAACATCGGTCTCAGAAAGTTGCGTATAAACCTGTTTATCCATTCTGATTCCAATGTATGGATGTGTGGGATTAATGAATGCAAATACCTCCTCCTCGCCTTGCTTGATTGGGAAAAGTATCGTGCGATATAAAATGAAATCATACTGTCCTATAAGGGGTATGTTGATGATATATACTAAACGGTTATCTTTATAAAATATACCAATGTCGCTAACATCAATTAAGTTACCGAATTGATGCAATTCTAAGGCCACAGGTAATTTCCTATTTCCAGGTATGTACTGGGACTCTTTTAATATCTTAAATAATTCTCTTGGTGTGAGAAGTTTCGGATGGATTAGACCGTGTGCTAATAATATAGCATCTGTAAGAGTTCCTAACTCGAATTCGTATTCTAATAACATTTCAGTGCATTCGACTAAATAAGAATTTGTTTCCATATTCATCTATATAATAGATAATTTGCGACGGTTGTTTAATATGTGTTTATTTAACTGTTCCAGATTATAATTTACTTCCTCAAATTGTCTGGCGTGAACTTTAAAAAGATTACTAAAGGTGTTAATGCTGGACTGGATAACATTAATTTGTTTTTTATAAAGATTAGTTAGTTTTTTTGAATTGTTGTAAACGCAATATATTTGATTATTGTAGTAGTCAGCATCGGATGAGTCTAGAGTACAAAAAGGATTTTTGTAATTTGCCAAACAAAATCAAAAACTCCTCGTTTAAAGCGATGTTCTGGTTGAGCAGGTCGTCCTAACATTTCGTTAATATTTTGGCGGTCGACTTTCAAACTTTCTAATTTTCTCTCTATACGGTGCAATTCTTGTAATCCTGAACATGTTGTACTGTTTAGAAAATAAAAGCTGTAACATAAGATTTCGATTTTGCTTGCGTAAAATTTTATTATTTTTTCCTTTTCTTCTAATGGGATGAGGTTAACGTAGTTGATTATTTTCCAATGGTCCCGGAAGATATTCAAATCTCCTATATTTTCAAAATAAACCTCTGCCAGTTTCTTTAACGCTTCGTTGGTAAATGCTTGAAATGTATCGGCTCTAGTCATCGCTGTCACTATTAACATCGTCCTGTGAAGGAAAATATGCGCGTTTTAACCGTTTAACATGTAAAATTTGATTGTGTCTGCCTCTTTTTATTTCATAATTTACATCGTTAATCTTCCGTAGAACCTTAAAAGGTCCTTCGTAATGGTCGGCGAACTTCCTACTACCTGTTCTAATTATCTCACGAAGGACGAAAACAAATTCTCCCGGGTCCAGAATTAATGGTTTTAACCGTTTGTCATAATAAGTTTTAGAGCGTTCTTTTGCCAGACGTAAATTTTCTTTCGCATTTTTTTTTAAGTATGTTAATCTATTTACTAAATCGGTATAAATCAGAAATTCTCTATGACTAATTCCGTGTCGTGGTTCTACTAGAGAGGGTAGTTGCGGTTTTCGGCCAAATATCAATTCGAATGGAGATATCTTAATTGCTTCATGATATGACGTATTATACGAGAACATTGCAGCATCTAGGAACAGATCCCAATCATTTTGATTGTTGTTAATATATGGTTTCAAATATTCTGCTAACACATGGTGTGAGCGTTCTAGTGCTCCGTTAGATTGAGGATGATAAACGCTCGTTTTTACTTGTTTAATTTTGAAAATTCTTGCAATCTCTTTCATAACTTCACCAGATATATTGCTACCCTGATCGGACAGTAATTCTTTGGGGAACCCAAACATGTAGATATATTTATTTACGATTGTATCAGCTATTGTTATGCTATTAGTATTAAGCAAGGGGTATGCTGTGCAAAATTTTGTTAGCTGATCCTGCGTGGTTAAAATATATTTGTTCCCTTTTCCTGATTCTGGCAATGGCCCTACAATATCGATCGCCATCTTTTCGAATGCTTCATTTGGTGTGTCTGTTATTAACATGGTAGCTTTTGTTTTCTCGCGTATTAATTTTTTTTTTGACAGTCATGACAAGTTCTTACGAAATTCGCTACATCCCGTTTCATGCCATCCCAAGAATAATATTGTTGTATTCTTTTAAGTGTTTTTGTTATGCCCTTATGACCACCAACTGCTGAATTATGTAAATATTTGACAATATTTTGTTGCATTATTGAGTCATTAATTTCTTGAGTTAAGGATTGTAACAGATATATCCGAATTGGTGTATCTTTAAATAGATATTCTATCATTTCGGAAATTTTAATTCTATTAGTAGCGTTTCCTATTGGTGCTATTGATAATACTTGTTTATTGTGTAAAATGACATATTTTTTTAATGCAACTAGACAATTAAATATAGTTTCCAAGTTTATCGGTGTTGTTTCGTGTTCCCGTGTAATTAGGTTTATAATAGGTGGATGTTTTCCTATTTCCGGCTTAATGTGTCCTGGTGCGATGGAAATATCCTCGGTTTTATTTCCCGTTTCTGATAATGTGATTTTAATTCTAGGAGTCGAGTATGCTTCTTTTATTAATATTCCTTTTATTATACCCGAAGTTTGTGGAGTTATATTGTCCGTTTTCCATAATGAATCATTCAATGCGTGCTGTAAGAATAGGCTATAGCTAACGTTTTCGTCCTTGCTACCTGATGGTTCTGCCTGTATGTTTGCTACCTGCGGGATTCTTGAAAGTGCGTCTGCGTTAGTATTTCGTTTACCTTCTTTATATAACACTTCGTAGTCGTATTCTTCTAACTTCAGTCGCCAGCGCATTAAACGAGATGATGGGTCTTTAACGTTAAAAAGCCAAGTTAGCGGTTTATGGTCCGTGATTATTTTAAATTTCTTACCATATAAATATGGTCGGAAGTGTTTAACTGCCCAAACAATAGCTAACAGTTCTTTTTCGGTAGTATCGTAATTACGTTCTGCTTTATTAAGTATTCTCGATGCATAAGCGATTGGTAAGTCATTATTGATGTTACCTTGTGACAAAATAGCACCGATTCCTTCGTCACTGGCGTCTGTCGTTAATAAGAATTCTTTATTAAAGTCGGGATACTGTAAAATTGGTTCTTTAGATAGTAATTCTTTAAGTCTTTCAAAATTTATTTGTTGTCTAGCTTCCCATTTAAATGATGCATTTTTCCTAAAAAGTGAAGTAAATGGTTCCGTGAGCTTACTAAAATCTTTAATAAATTTTCGGTAGTAACCTACGAGTCCTAAAAATTGTCTAAGTTGTTTATAATTTTTGGGAATAGGATATTGCTCCACTATTTTTATTTTCTCGGGATTTAGTCTAACTCCTTCCTCAGCTATGATATGGCCTAGATAAATTAATTCCTTTTTAAAGAACTCGCACTTATCTGGTTGCAAGCTAAGACCGGCATTTTTTAATCGTTCAAATAATTGATTTAATTTTTGTTTATGTTCCTCTAGAGATTGAGCGTAAACAACAATATCGTCCAAGTATACAAAGCATACATTGCCTTGTAGTCCTGTTAAGATACTATCCATTAGACGCTGAAAAGTCGCGGGAGCGTTTTTAAGCCGAATGGTATTTTCTTATGTTCGTAATAACCATTAGGCGTACTGAATGCAGTTTTCATAGAATCCTGTGGGTCCATAGGTATCTGATGGAAACCTGAGGCGAGGTCGAAACATGAAAAATATCTAGCTTTACCTAACTGATCTAAGATATCCGAAATATTAGCCAAAGGGACGCGTCTCCAACTGTTTTTTTGTTCAATTTGCGAAAATCTATTACTAGTCTCCATTTTTTATTACCGTCGGCGTCCGGTTTCTTAGGAACTATCCACAACGGTGAATTATACGGCGATATGGATGATTGTATAATGCCCTGTTTTAACAACTTGTTAACTTGATCTTTAATTTCTTCTTTGTGTATAGGTGGATATCTGTATCGCTTTACGCATATGGGGACATTATCCGTCGTCAATATCGAATGTGCTATTTTGTTTGTCCCTTTTAATTTGTCCCCTAGTAAATGAAATATTTCATTGTAATTTTCTATTAAAGGCAAAATTGAGCGTTTTTCTTCTTCGTTTAAATGTTGTAATCGTAGATTTTCTTTTAATAATTTTAATCTTTCCGATAAGTTATTAGAGATCACAGAATCTATTTTATATGTAGAGCTGTCCTTCGGGCTCGTGGTAGTTTCCACTGACTCTACACTGATTACGGGAACCTCTAAATGTAATTCTTCTTCGTTAGTGTTTATCACATATGTATAAGCTCTGCCGCGATTAATCTCTACTACACTCTCTATCAAGAAAACACCTCGATGTATTTCTTGACGAGATAGGAACGCATCTACGTTACTCGCATTATATTGATTCGTTTGTATAGCGATAGGACAAATACTTCGACCAGGCAAAATAATCGGATTACTATATTCTCATAGCTTACATTATTTTTAATCATTATTGTCCGTTTTTCAAAATCTATCTTCGCGTTTTCTTTTCTCAAAAAGGTCGAGCCTATTATTCCTTGTTATTTTAAGAGGAATTTACTTGGGATTACATGGAACTCATGAGCGTCTGTGCCTGAGTTTAGGTATACCGTTCCGAGCGTTACTTGTTTTTCCTCGGTTATTCCTTGGATTTCAACTTTATTATCATAATATAATAACGTGCCTGGTTTTAACGCGTTTGCCTTAATAATATTTATGTCCGCACCTGTATCCAATAAAAATCTATCTAAGGGGTTTCTAAGTTCGTTGAAGGGGATGCAGACGAGGTTTCTTGAAGTGGTTCGGATTGTATATATGTGAGTTCTTGCTCTGATATTTCTATCGGGTTCGCGCGACTTAATTGTGGGCCTAGGCGCTGCGCGCTTCGCGTTTGGCCCTGAGAGTTTAAAGCTGGCGACAAGGCGAATTGATTATTTCCGCTAAACTGATTGCCTTGTCTGGTTGTATTAAAATTATTTCCGCGACATCTATTGAAATGATTATTTGGACCGGGACTGTTGTAATGATATTGCGAATTTTATGTGCCTCCATTTTGACGGTAATTATTATTATTATTTTGTGAGTTCGGTTCACACCAGTAGCAAGTATTGTTATTAAAGTTATTAAAATTAGGATTCCTATAGGGTAGATTTTGTGAATTGTAAGATTTTGTTCTACATTCATTTTCAATATGTTCAGGTTTCCTACAATAATTGCAAATCATTCTCTGTGAGTTGTATGATCGATTAATCGAATTATACGACTGGTTCATTCGAATTCTTTCTGTATAATAATGTGATTCGTTTATAAAGCTAACGGTTCTCTTAATTGCATCGTCGAGAGTGTTAAAATCATGCGCTAGTAAATGTTGCCCAATATTCCTATCTAATCCGCCGATAAAACGTTTTATTAATTTATTAGTAGCAAAACTCTTAAGTCCTGCTCTTGCTGTTTGATCAGGGTAGCTCGTGCAAATACGATTGCAAGTACTAAATCTTTATGAAGATTTTTTATTCTATTAACATAATCCTCGATGGGTTCATCCTTAAATTGCTGCAAATTGCTTGCTTGTGATTCCCATTGTTCGAAACTTAGATATATGTTGAATTCTCTCTCTAATATAGCGCACAATGTATCTAAATTGTTAATAGTGTGTGTAGACCACAACAGTGCAGCTTCACCGATTAATTTGGTTTGCAGAATTGCTCTAAAGAAAAATTCTCGATCGTCCGGCTCTACTAAAGTAAGAGTTCCTTTACAATCCGAGATAAATTGACTCACCGGAACGTTTGTTCCGTCGAATTTAGATATAAGCGATAATCCTTCGCGGACAGCAAAGTAACTACTGTTTGTCGCGATGGAGGACCTACGACTATGTTCGTTAACGCCGAGGTTTATATTAGGTTCTGGTTCACCTGACTAATCCATTTTTAACAAGGTGCGATAAGAAAGATGATCTATACTATTATTAATAGAGCTATTCTCCAAACTATCCGTGCTATAATGCGACTTACTTTCTCTATAAGTAGCAAAGTTCATGAGCTTACGTTACTACTACGAGTCGCATGATGCTTCCGAAGTCCTTTGGATGACAATGTCCTTGAGTTGATGACCCTTTTACGTGTAGCCTTCCACGGAGTTCCGTTCTCGTCGATTACTTGATGTCGGCTGTTATGTTCCTTCCGGAAAAATCCTGGAGTCCTTATGCCTATTTCCTCGAGAACTGTAGTCCGTTCGTCGGGGGTTAATCGGTCAATCGGATCTCAGGATGTTAGCAGGCTCTGACTGCGATATGCTCGACGTCCCTGGCTGAGTCCACTGATTTGAGATTGCGGCTGACTTTGAGTTTTCTGCATCATTAATTTTGCGACTAATGAAGTTCTCTCGACTCAATTTCCTCAGGCTCAACTGCTTGTCCTCTCGATGATAACTTAGTCTTTTAACAGTCTTCTTAATGTCTGTCTCTTCCTACGCGTTCCTTCCACGTGTTGTTTTTATTTCGTCTTCTTGATCCCATCGCTGCCACCAATTGTTACGTTTGCCACAGCTTATGAAGCGAAACGAATATTGGGAAGGAACGAGAAATCAGCTTTTATGCCTCCGACTGTTAACTGACTTTATTTTATAATTCTCAACAAGAGTGTAATACCGCTCGAAAGAGAGAGGGGCTAGGTGTTCGCTTGAAGAGTGCTAGCAGGGAACTGATCTGGTGGTGATAGGAAAAATGATGGTAAGGAAGGAAAGGGAAAAGATAAAATTCTCGCGAGGGTAGTCATGGCGAATGATGAGAAATTCGGCAGGAATTCGGGGATATGACATCTATTAGTTTGTTATTTTAGGATGAGATCGGTCATCGGATTAGATAAGACAGGTATGGAGGAATATACGTCGTGGTCGCTGTTACGATGATTCACATAAGATAATAAAACTATATATTGCGGCACGTAATAGTGCGTAGGGGCTGAGCGATAACGCATCTCGCGCTGACTGTCGCGATGGCGTCTTAGCGCTTTGACGCCGCGCAACGGTCAATGCGAGCTGCGTTATCGTTCAGCCCCTACGCACACAGCTTGCCGCGGAGCGTCTATAGGTTGCGCTGGACGTGGAAAACGCCTAACTTTGCGCTGTTATAATTAAAAAAACTATTACGATTTTCACATTATGGCATAGGACTTTTTTGTTCCTCTCACTTAGCTTTATGTCCCTACGGAGCCCGTGTCCCAAAGTTCTGAGACACCCTGTATATACATACAAATGTATTACATACACATACACATGTGCACATACAAATGTATTAATTAAAAAATGCATACTAATTATATATAATATATACCTCTTTTTTAATTGTGTGTCCATTCTCCTTCATAAAACATAGAAAAGGCTGTTTATATCAGGTGTAGTAAAAAGAAATCCATTATTTTTCCAATAGATGGCTTTAGTTATCTGTATCTCGCGTTGCATAAGTCCGATCGGGTTCCACTAGATGGCGTTAGAAAGATGAGATTTTTAGGATTTTTGTGCCCTCTTGCTCTCTCGCCGATGCAAGTGGAGGGTAGGTTCCTAAATCAACCTAGGCGTGTTCTTCTTTGGTCCCTTTATTGCGCACGTGCCTGCCAGCTGCAGAGTACGTGAATCACAGGTACAACTTATGCGTCTTGACAATACAAAAACAGTTCTCTGCGCTCGCACGACATATGAGCTACAGCGGGACTCGTATGTATATGTGTGTGGGCCGAACAGAGCCGATGCTCCTGCCTGCCCGCTCTCGCACAATCGCGACCGCGTGCAGAAATCGCGGTGTCACACACGACAAAGAAACAAATACTCAGGCTATGACTAGCGATCGTATTATACGTTGACTCTGTGAGCGCTTCCAATGATTACTAACTCGTTGGTCTTTTTCCCCGCACGAGTGACACTTGCGCGCGCTCTATAGTGCCGCACGGAAAACGGATGCGTGCGCTTTTGGGGAGCTCAAAGTCCCCACAGGTGCTCCCCGCTCAGTGCCTCTCTAGACAGAGAGGAACGAAACTTTTTTCTTTTTCGCGTACGTTTTGAATTGTGGCGCGGATGAAATGGACGGACGCGGATCACTCGTTTGCGGCTGTTCAGAGCCGTTGTTCTCCAGCACTATGAACGCGGGTTTTAACGACTCTGTTGATAAGGTTTTTTCCTCACCATTGATATCCACCAGGAAAACGCGGTCTGTTATGCGCCTGATTATTCGGTGAGGACCCGAATACGGCGGATCGAGCGGCCGGCGAACAGAGTCAATGCGACGGAAGACATGCGAACAAGTGTACAAATCTCGGAAAACGAACGGTTTCGCGTTCGTGTGATGAACTGTTGCCGTTGGACGGATCTTACGAATATATTCGCGGAATTTTTCTAAAAATATAAACGGATCGGCCGGTGGATCCTCATGAACAAAAAATTCACCCGGTAACCGTAGTGTTGTGCCGAAGAGAAGCTCTGCTGGAGACGCTTGCAGATCCTCCTTCACGCATGCTCTTAGGCCAAGAAGAACGGTTGGTAAGATGTCTGGCCACGGTGTTGGTGCATGGCATTTTAGTGCTGCCTTCAGGGTGCGATGCCAGCGTTCGATGAGTCCGTTCGCTTGTGGATGATACGGCGTAGTGCGAATCCGAGTTGCACCAATTAGTCGCGCTAATGACTGGAAGAGTGCAGATTCAAATTGCGTTCCCTGATCCGTGGTGATCGTCAGTGGAATCCCGAAGTTGCATATCCAGTGATTGAAGAGAGCGGATGTTACAGTGTCTGCTTCAATGTTCGGTAGTGGAAGTGCAACTGGCCATCTGGAAAAACGATCTATGATTGTGAGGCAATAGCGGTTACCTCGTATAGGCGGTAGCTCTATCAGGTCCAAATGGATGTGATTGAATCGGTTGTCCGTTGCTTCGATATATTCAGGCCGTGGTTTGTTGTGTCTGCTGACTTTTGATCGCTGGCACGGTAAACACTCACGTGCCCAGCGAGAAACATCTTGGTTGATGCCTGGCCAGATGAATTTTTGTTTGATGCACTTCAGCGTTGAGCGAGCGCTCGGATGAGCCGGACCATGGATGACATCGAATGCTTTGCGTCGAAGTGGTTGTGGTAGGTACGGTCGTATGATGCCCATCGAGACATCACACCAGATGTCTTCTTCTTCGATTCGAAGGTGGTTCAGCTCGAGCGACGTGGATCTTACGATGTCTGCGAGTTCTGGATCTGCTTCCTGCGCGTTTGCAATGATTTCTGCTGAGAGTGTGCTTGGCATCTTAATTGCGTTGATCCTGGAGAGCGTGTCTGCAACCACGTTGTTTTCGCCTTTCACATGGACTATGTCCGTGGTGAACTGCGAGATGTAGTCCAGTTGTCTTAGCTGGCGTGGCGAACTCTTTTCTGCCTTTCTGCTGAAAGCGTATGTTAGCGGTCGGTGGTCTGTCCGTACCTGGAATACTCTTCCTTCAAGTATGTGTCTGAAGAACTTGACGGTAGCGAACACAGCAAGAAGCTCTCGGTCATATGTGGAGTACTTCTGCTCGGTTGGAGAGAGTTTCCGTGAGAAGAATCCAAGTGGCTGCCAGTGTCCGTTTATCTGCTGTTCGAATGACGCGCCTATAGCGGAGTCCGCAGCATCAGTCGTCAGTGTGAGAGGTGCATCTGGAGCGAGAAAGGCTGAGTGTGTGGCAGCTGTCAATGCATCCTTGCATTTCTGGAACGCAGCCTCTGTCTCCATTGTCCAGGGAATCTCTCGCTTGTCCCTCTTCTTCGCCTCCTTCAGGTGTTTGGTTAGCGGAGCTTGCTGTTGAGCGGCATTCGGCAATACTCGACAGTAATAGTTTACCATCCCCAAGAAGCGACGTAGATCTGCGATGGTCTTGGGTTTTGGAAACTGTTGAATGGCTGTTACCCTGTCGAGTGGTTTAAGTCCAGTCTGTGAGACAGTGTAGCCGAGATAACGCACAGAATCCTGTCCAAAGAAGGATTTGGTCGCATGGACTGGAAGGTTGTTCTCCTGGAGCACTCTGAGAACGGTATCGAGATGTTGAAGATGTTCTTCATGACTGTCTGAGAAGACGATGATGTCATCCACGTAGCATGCAGCAAAGTTGATCCCGCGCAGTATATTGTCCATGTGCCGTTGGAACGTTTGCGTGATATTTCCAAGTCCAGGCGGCATGCCTAAGAATTCAAATAGGCCGAAAGGTGTCGTAACAGCGGTTTTGGGGACGTCCTCCGGTGCAACAGGAATTTGGTGATACGCTCGGATTAGGTTTAGCATGGAAAAGACCTTTTTCCCGTGCAACTGTTGTAAGATGTCCTCTATTCGTGGGATCGGATATCTGTCTGGAACAGTTTGAGAATTCAGACGCCGATAATCACCTGTTGTGCGCCAGCCACCTTGGTTTTTCTGCGCCATGTGTATCGGACTCGCCCATTGACTGCGTGAAGGTTGCACGACCCCGAGATGTAAGAGAAGGTCGAAGTCTGCCTTGGCGACTGCCAATTTGTCACCTAGAAGTCGCCGTGGACGCTCGAACACTGGAGGTCCTGTGGTCTCTATATGATGCGCGATCCCATCAAAGCGGATCGTTGAGGGAGTTGGCCTTGGTGCGAAGACTGCTGCGTGCGAGTCCAGTAGTGTGGCATATGGCTCTCGGTGTGGTGAGTTCGGAAGATAGTGCTGACTGGTTGCGGAGACACTAAAAATGGTTGTCTCACATACCTGACCCTGTGTGGCAAGGCTGGTTTTTGGATCCACAAGGCGTTGTCGAGAAAGATCGATGATTAGACCGTAGTGTGAGAGAAAATCAGCTCCGATGATCGCTGAGTTCACATCAGCAATGATGAACGACCATTTTAATGCGCGGCGAAGTCCGAGATCGAGGGTGAGCGGCTGCTGGCCAAATGTGCAGATGGCTGATGAATTGGCGGCGAATAGTTGTAGTTCGGTAGGAGTGAGCTTCCTGTGCACGCACTTCCGAGGAATCAGCGAAACAACGGATCCAGAGTCGACCAGGAACCTAATGTTCATGGTTCTGTCAAAAACGTGGAGTCTTTTCTCACTAGGCGCTGCTGTGCTGTCGCCGATTGCCTGTGTCGACGGCAGCGACGTCAGTTTCCCGCGCCATTTGCATTGGTAGCTTGGAGTGTAAAGCTGCACGGCTGCTGGCATCGTCTCGCAGCAGCACCGAAGCGGCGGTGGTAATAGCACCACTGACTGGTTAGTTGCTGAGTGTTACGAGAGCGCGACCTGGAACGTGTACGCTAACGCTGGGTGGACTGTCCTTGGTGGACAACAGCAGGCAACAGGTGCTCGAGCAGAGTCGTCAGGTGTGCGACGGACTGTTGCATGGTGGTTACTGCTTCTCCTAACCGCTGAATGGTTTGGGTGTCGGCAGAGGCTGCAGCTCCCAGTCTACCTGGTGAATGTGGTGCAGCAACTGCAAGAACTTGAGGTGTAGAAGAGCCTTCCATGAGCTCGTCTGCAACTGTTGAGAGGTCCTCTAAGCAGGTTGTCCGAAGGATCTTGAGGACTCGCTGTATCCCAGGTGGTAGAAGTGCCAGCCAGCGTACTCGCAGGATGTCCTGTGACACTCGGTCGCCTGCCAGCGTCCTCATGTGACGGAGGAGTTGTGAGGGCTTGCGGTTGCCAAGCTCCAAGTCTGTGAGTAGACGGTGGAGCTGCTTGTCTGCAGAATCTGCGAAACGTGCAAGTAACTGCGTTTTTAAGGTGACATACTTGTCAATGACAGGTGGTGATGCCAGGATGTCCGCTATTTCTTGAATTGCTTCAGAGTCGAGTGCACCGATGACAAGGTGATATTTGCCGTCATCAGAGCGGATACGATGTATTTGAAATAGAGATTCTATTTGCGCGAACCACAGAGCTGGCTGCTGTTTCCAAAACGATGGAATCTTACACGCTGTGATAGACTCGATGACACTGTCGTTGAATGGAGGTCCCATGTTAATGAGCGGCTCCAATTGGGATGCACTCCCGTGAGGTAGTTCGATGTGGCTTGGCCTTGCCCGTGTGCCGGGTGGCTGCTCCGATCCCTTGGACGGAGGGGTGTAATGTAGCGACATGGTGTCTGTTCGGATTCACGGAATGAATACGATTGTATGCAGTTTTTCTTCAGGCACTGATTGAAATTTGCGTGTGCAGCTGTCGCGATGCAAAACAGGGGCGAAAAAGTGTGTAACACTTGATCAAAAAATTTTTACCGTTGTGGAACTGCACGTGTCACACTCACGATGACTGCATGCGCAGAGCAGAGTTTCAGCCAATCAGAGTCCGTCACGCATGCGCCGATGGTCACCACGCGCACAGCACCGAGTCTTCGACCAATCAGAGTTTGTCACGCATGCGCCGATAGTCACTACGCGCACAGCACCGAGTCTTTGACCACTCACAGCTCGATTCTGACCTTTATCGAGGCGAAGCTGTCCGATGGCGGCGGAATCACCTGATGCGGACAAATGTTTCCAATTTTTAGGAAGTTTGAATTTTTACCGGTCGGCAAGGTGACCTCAGCCAGAAGGTCCGTTGGAATGGCACAATGTCTCTCTCTTTTTCGTTACACTGCGAATCTTGTCCGGTTACCAATTTAGGTGTCGGGGTCACCAATTTAGGATTTTTGCCTCTTGCTCTCTCGCCGATGCAAGTGGAGGGTAGGTTCCTAAATCAACCTAGGCGTGTTCTTCTTTGGTCCCTTTATTGCGCACGTGCCTGCCAGCTGCAGAGCACGTGAATCACAGGTACAACTTATGCGTCTTGACAATACAAAAACAGTTCTCTGCGCTCGCACGACATATGAGCTACAGCGGGACTCGTATGTATATGTGTATGGGCCGAACGGAGCCGATGCTCCTGCTTGCCCGCTCTCGCACAATCGCGACCGCGTGCAGAAATCGCGGTGTCACACACGACAAAGAAACAAATACTCAGGCTATGACTAGCGATCGTATTATACGTTGACTCTGTCAGCGCTTCCAACGGTTACTAACTCGTTGGTCTTTTTCCCCGCACGAATGACACTTGCGCGCGCTCTATAGCGCCGCACGGAAAACGGATGCGTGCGCTTTTGGGGAGCTCAAAGTCCCCACAGATTTCGTACTAAAAAACTTTTCTGACAGTTTTGTGATTAGTTGACTCAGTTTTGTTTGAGCGCGCGTCAAAGATGGACACTAGCAAAGAGAAAATACGCTATATTTTACAGTTTTTCTTCGATAAAGGCGAAAACGCAAGCCAGGCGGCTGAAAATGTGAATAGTGTTTATGGTCCTGATACTGTAACAGCCAATCACGCGCAATTTTGGTTTCGTCGATTCCGTTCCGGTAATTTCGATGTCAAAGATGCACCACGCACTGGAAGGCCAATTGTCGAAAATATCGATAAAATCATGGACATTGTCGAGTCCGACCGTCATGTAAGCACTGTTTCGATTGCCCAAGAGCTAAAGATTGCACAAAAAACCGTTTGGAACCATTTGAATAAGGCTGGATACAAAAAGAAGCTCGATGAATGGGTGCCGCACGAGTTAACGCAAAAAAACCTCATGGATCGAATTTCCATCTGCGAATCGCTGCTGAATCGCAACAAAATCGACCCATTTCTGAAGCAGTTGGTCACTGGTGATGAAAAGTGGATCACTTACGACAACGTCAAGCGAAAACGGTCGTGGTCGAATCGCGGTGAGCCGGCGGAAACGGTGGCCAAGCCAGGATTGACGGCCAGGAAGGTTTTGCTGTGTGTTTGGTGGGATTGGCAGGGAATTATCTACTATGAGCTGCTCCCCTACGGCAAACTCTTAACTCGGAACTGTACTGTCAACAATTGGACCGTCTGAAGGAAGCAATCGCCCAGAAGCGGCCAGCTTTGGCCAATAGGAGAGGAATTGTGTTCCATCAGGACAACGCCAGGCCACACACATCGATAGTGACTCGCCAGAAGCTCCAGGAGCTTGGTTGGGAGGTTCTTATGCATCCACCTTATAGTCCGAACCTGGCACCAAGTGATTACCATCTGTTCCTGTCCATGGCGGACAATTTTGCTGGTGAAAAATTCGCTTCAAGAGAGGCTTGTGAAAATCGACTGTCTCAATTTTTTGACAATAGGGACGAGGGCTTCTATGAGAGAGGCATAATGAAATTACCTTCAAAATGGCAACAAGTTATCGAACAAAACGGCGCATATTTGACCTAAATCGGATCATTCTAACTATGGTAATTAAAGCCTTCAATTTCATGCAAAAATAATGGATTTCTTTTTACTACACCTGATATAATGAATTTATCTTCCTATTCTTTTGTAATATATATATTTTTATTCGTAAGAATAAAAAAACATAAATTAAAATAAATAACAAAACATAGCTAGGCGGGAACACGCAACCTGGCGAGTACCAGCACCGCGCACAGTCTGCTGCCTTACGTCGTCATTTGGAAATAACTCTGCAAATGTTACTAGGTGCGCAACTAATAGCGAATTCGATTGGAAGCACTAGTGCGCACTAGTGCACACTGAGTGCGCACCGAATGCATCCCCTTTCAAGTTTTAGTATTCGGTTGTCTTGCATTCCACTAGGTCAAAAATCTGCATGTTCGGTTGACAGTATACTGGAAACGGGCGCTAGGGAAAAAGTATTCGATTGAGCTGCATTATTCTAGTGCAGTGATAGTTAATATTCGGTGGAGGTGCACCGCACTCATGCAAAAGGCACTGATTTGCACTGAGATTTTCGTCAGTGCGGTTCAGTGCAGTGATGGATTAACCAACGATGACTGAAAAAGAAGAAATAGCAATTAATATATTATTATTAGATGAACTGTTAAATAGTTCAAGTAGTTCTAGTGAGGAGGAAATGATGGCAATATTAATGACAAGTACTACAGAAATTCCAAAAGTTCGGAATATGATGGATATTGTTAACGAATATTCTGATGAAGAAGTAAGTTATATTATATGTAATTTCTATTTTAAATATTTATTATAGTCACAGATTAAAAATATTACTTGCTTAAATTTCAGCGACATTTTCGTTTAAAACGAAGTACATATAATATATTACATGATATGTATACAAATTCGGAAATTTTTAATACATTGAAAGGGCATGGTGGTAATATTGTACATACCCAGACAGCACATGTTCTCCTGGAGATGTCCTAAGGACGTCCTGAGGATGAAGAAACGTCCCCAGGACATCCTCAAGACGTATTCTGGACGTTCTCTGGATATATGTGCTATTAGGGTGGTAATGTACAGTTATTATCATTTCTATGGTATATTTCTTATAGACTGATATAATTGCATATATAAGTATATAATAATATTAACATTATATTTATAGGTTTGCAGGAAACAAATCAGTCATATTAGATGTTGCATCCAGATTTAATATAGCAGAATCTATGTTTTATGCTATCACATCAAACATTATGAAGTTTTTCAATGATATTGCTCCAAATATAATAAAAATGCCTAACACAGAAGACAGAAAAAGAAAGGTTGTTCGAGAATTTGAAGATGTAATATTTTTAATTTATACTGAAATAAATATATAACAGTAGACTAATAATTATCAATTAGAGAATGATTAGGTTATTGTAAAATAAAAGTCTAGGTTTTTGTGTGTCTATTAATCAAACTTTATTAACAAACAACTCTATAAAATTAAATATTAATATTAATAAACAACTCTATAAAATAAAATTTTTGATGAAATTATGTGTGGACATCGTATTTTACACTTAAAGGTTTATATATAAAAATCTATTATTTGTAACTTATATTTTCTATTATTTATAAGTTATATATGAATTTTTTTTTAATTTAAAATTCTTATATCTAAATATCTAAAATAACTTTATTTCAGATATGTGGATTTCCTGGAATTCTTGGATACATTGATGGAACATACATTAAAATTAGAATGCCTGCTAAAAGAATCAAAAGTACCTATGTTAACAGACATGATTATCCATCTTTAACGTTACAAGCAGTTTGTGATGCCAACAAGTTATTTTTAGATGTTTTCACTGGTCCTCCTAGTAAAGTACATGATGCAAGAATATTTCAATTATCATTTTTAAGTAATGAAATACAAAATATATCAGAAGATTATCACTTATTAGGCGATGCGGCATACCCTTTAAAAAAATATCTGTTAACACCGTGTAGAGATTATGGTAATCTCACAGCTGCTCAACGAAATTATAATCATAAATTATGTACAACTAGAGTGAAAATAGAAAATGCGTTTGGATTATTAAAACAAAAATTTAGGCAATTAATGCAACTAAATTTTCTCACAGTTAAACGTTCTGCTAATTTTATTATTTCCTGTTGTGTATTATACAACTTATGTATTATTAATAATGACTATTTAGATAATTTAGATATTGAAAACATTGAATATAATGAGGGACATGTTTATAATGAACAAAATCCAAATGATAGGATGGATGGTGAGACAAAAAGAGATATTATTTGTAATTTATTGGCTTTTAATTAATTAACATAAGTATACATGTATGCACAAATAAAACTTTCTACAATACAAAATAAGATTTATTTTATTTTTAAACATACAATATATATTTAGAACTTAAAATATCTCAATTTTAAAGAAAATATGCAATGAAGAAATTGAAAAAAGTTTTGTAAGATATTAAGACTATTTCCCCGGATTGTGTACAATAAAATAACATAAAGAATTTGTTTTGTAAGATGTTAAGACTATTTTCCTGGATTGTGTACTATGAAATAATATAAAAATTAAAAATTTTTTGTATCACATAACATATAAAGAAATAATCCTTAGTAATATATAACGAAGAAATAGGCCCATATTCAGAACATGTTTGTGACTATGTCAGCGCGCTGTTAACCAATGAAAAGCCACGCAATATGCCTTCTGATTAGCAGTGCACTAACATAGTTATAAGCATGCTCTGAATATGAGTCAGTCTTTAGTATTATATAACATATATAAAAAACAGTCTTAGTATCACATAAAGTATAAAGAAACAGTCTTTAGTATCACATTACGTATAAAATAATAACATTTTTGTAAATACTTAAACATCTTTAGATTATATAAAGTTTTATAGTATAGAGTAATTAAGTATGCTGTTTCTATTCATTGTTATTATTTGTATCATTGCTTGTTGAAGGTATGTTCATATAGTTAATTAATACTTCCAATTTTTCTGCATGTCTTCTTTGTCTTCCTTCTTCTTTATTTTTCTGCATGAATAACAAAGTCTCACTTATAGACATTTTTTTTGTTGCTTTTAGTGCTGTAGAAACTATTGCAATATTTTCTTTATGTTTTTCAATTATTTTCCCAACATCTTGCAATATTTCAGGTTCTAAACTATCATCTATTGCCTTTATCTTGTTCAGTTCTTCTTCAAATTCTACTCTTGCTCGTTTTGCACCGAATTGTTGATTGTTTCTAACAGATTAACTTTTACGTTTTAAAATAGTTTTGTAACAATTCTCACATTGTACAACACTTCGTACAATATTTAGTTCTGTTGATATGTCTTTAGATATTTGGATCCACATTGATTTTTTAGATTTAAATTGTTTCATAGGACCAATTAAAGATAAATATTGCTCATATTTGTCTAATAATAATCGTGTACTTTCATCGCACCAAGTAGTTATTTCATTTTTATTTTTGCTGTCATCCATGTTATTTACTTTACTTTAAAAATCTGTAACTAATAATAGAAAATTTTACAATATATAACATTTAAAGCTAAAATTATAAGAAAAATATGAATTATACAAAATGCATTAAAACTATTACAAGTAAAATGTTATAAACAAATAATAACCGAGTACACATAATGTTCAATATAACGTGCATGTTAATTGTAATTTTTTATTTAACAATGCCAGACTGCACACTCCAGACTAAATATGTAAAAAATTCTCCTACAAATAAATTAAGATCTAACCCCTTTAGCGTGGTCTACAATGGCAGTAAGCAGTAAGAAGTAAGCGTAAGCGGTAAGAAATAAACCAATCACAGTCGATTATGACAAAAATAATCAACTGTGGTTGGTTCATTTCTTATTGTTCACGCATTCTTCTTACTGCTTACGGCCATTGTAGACCACGCTTTAGAAAATCGCTACTTGCATTCAATTGGGACAGTGCAAGTAACCACACTCAAGTTAGTGCAAGTAACCGCACTCAAGTTAGTGCAAATAACCGCACTCGGGTCAATATGAAAATACGCACTCCGAGCACGTGCGCCTAATAATAAAAGGTCACCAGCAACTGGAACAGAGCAAGTGCATTTCAATCGAATTCGCTATAAGTTTCCGGGTTTCACACATGGATGGTGCTAACGACACATGTAGTCGACATATATGTCTGAAGTTGTGTCTTATTTATAGCTTGGACATTTGTTAACAATAATCAGTCATAATACCTACACATATCGCAACGCAAAAATATTTTGTCTAACAACGAAGATGTCGAGTTTTGTGCCAAACAAACAGCATTTGCGGGAAGCTTTGCTTTTCTGCTTTAACTTGAAAAAAAAAGTGCAGCTGAAGCACGTCGTTTGCTTGAGGAGGCCTACGGCGAACATGCACCATTAAAAACTACCTGTGAAGATTGGTTTAAACGTTTCAGAAGTGGCGATTTCGACACTGAGGACAAGGAGCGCTCCGGAAGACCAAAAACAATTGAGGACGCTGATCTGCAAGCGTTATTGGATGAAGATGATACGCAAACACAAGATCAACTTGCGGAGGCATTAAACATGACTCGCCAAGGTATTTCCAAACGTTTACATGCCATGGAAAAAATTCAGAAGGAAGGAAAATGGGTGTCGCATGAGTTGACTGAGAGACAGATGGAAAATCAAAGAACTACTTCCGAAATTTTGCTTTTGCGGCATGAAAGAAAGAGTTTCCTGCATCGAATTGTTACTGGATGAGAAGTGGATATATTTCGAGAATCCCAAACGCAGAAAATCATGGCTTTCACCTGGCGAAGCATCAACATCGACGGCACGGCTAAATCGCTTTGACAGAAGACAATGCTCTGCGTTTAGTGGGACCAGAAAGGAATCGTGTACTATGAGCTGTTGAAACCGGGCGAAACTGTCAATAGGCATTGCTACCGACAACAACTGATCAATTTGAACCATGCATTGCTCGAAAAACGGTCAGAATGGGACAGAATGAGACACGAACGAGTGATATTGCAGCATGACAACGTTCCGTGCCATCGCACTTCCATCATCCAGGACATCATCAAAACGCTGAAATGGGATCTGCTACCGCACCCGCTGTATTCGCCAGACCTGTTCCTTCCGATTATCACTTGTTCCGGTCGATGGCGCATGGCTTGGCTGGGCAACACTTGGCCAATTTCGAAGAAGTGCAAAATTGGTTGGATGACTGGTTTCGGTCCAAAGATGCGTCGTTTTGTCGTCGCGGTATTCATGTATTGCCAGAGAGATGGCAAAAATGTGTAGCTAGCAAGGGACGATACTTTGAATAAACCATTTTTGTATTTCTCTTGAAATTTTCCATTTTTTATTGATCAAAAGAACCCAGAAACTTAGTTGCGCACCTAGTAGAATAACGGAGCATACTTAAAATCGCGAAATTTCAATTTGTAATTTCTCCCAAATGCTTGAGTGCTGCATCGTCTCCGATTAACAGTAGCTTTTGCTGAACTTATATTACATTCCTGCCAAAGCTCGTCAAAATCAGTGACCCCAAGTTTGGCAGCAGCCCTTGTCAGATTATAGCCCAGAAAGCCTCGCTCGCGTCGCTGAGCGAACACGAGAGCGAGAAGGAGGGAATAATATCTCTCTGTCTCTTGGCGCGCCGACGATTGCCGAGCGCGTGGTCCACACGGATAGACTGAGCTATGTGTGCGTGCGTGGTGGGGGAAATTAGAAAAGAGCCGTGGACATTGGCATCGTAGTTCATGTGCACGGTTGTGCAGAGAGCGTCTCACACTGGGCTCGACTAAAAGCGGGCCGTGACCCCTCTCCTTCTTCTCTCTGGACATGGACGTAAGAACATGGACGTAAGAATTACGTCCATGCGTAAGAATATATGGACGGAGCAAAGAGCTGTGGGAGTGGTCCATGAAGGGTGAGGGGAAAGAAATGTCTATTGTAACGAATATGAGAGACTAAAATGGCGACAGTCGCTAGTGTCACGGAATGTTATATATTTCAACATAAAAATAATTACTCTAAATGATAAAGAAACAACTGATATTAATATTATTAATCAATTAAATTTTTCAAAATAAATAATACTTCTATGATTAAATCTTTTGAACAGAATCCTGACATAAAAGGAAAACCACATAATGAAAATAAAGTTAAATGAAATCTTATTATAGTAAAAGGAATAAACTCATTTAATCTTCCTAAAACACCAATATCTTGATTGTTATTTATTAAATGAATGATTACCCCAGCCCTAATAAATAATGATTTAAAAATTGCATGGGTTAATAAATGAAAATATGATAATAAATTAAATCCTGCTCTTAAAATTATTATTATTAATCCTAGCTGACTCAGTGTTGATAAAGCAATAATTTTTTTATCATATTCAAATCTGGCTATTAGACCAGATATAAACATTGTTAATACTGAAATTAATATTAACAAAATACTTACTTCATTATATAAGAATTTATGAAATTTATTTCATAAATTAAAATTAAATTTATGAAACTTATTTCACTACAATCATATAATAGTCTCGGTTGGCGGAAGATAATGACGTCTCACGACGTGACAGTAGACCCTAAATATGAAAGATCAAGGTAGCCAACGATAGATTCCCCTCACTCTTCAGGGCCAATACCCTCCACCTATAAAAGCACTTTATATTCCGTCCATATATTCTTACGTCCATGCTGATACACTGTTTTCTAGCGCTATCTAAACCTAACCTACAAAACTTATGCATAAATCTAATAAATAACCATATAAAATTTCGAGTTATTCATAAAAAAGGTTAGCAAATCAACAGGCGCGATGCTGTAGAATGCGCTTTGTAGACGCAAATATACCGAAAATGATTGAGAAATAACTACCTTTTAGTGACAATAGCTATTGACTAGCAGCTAAGAGCAAAGCAATGATGCAATGATATGGAAGCAATTGTTTCTTGATATGTCGGATACAACCATTTTCGATAAACTCGCGTCTACAGAGCGCGTTCTACAGCGTCACGCATACTGATTCATTATTTTTTTATGAATAATATAATTCACATGATTATTTACAAAATGGCACCGGTCCTCATGCTCGTGGGGTTAATATGCTCTATCTTCACGCAGATTGATTCATCTTGCATCAGACACACTACAGGGTGTCTCATAACTAATGTGGCAAACATAAAGCGAGTTAAAACAAACATAAAAGTCTCATACTGTTTTACAAGATTCGCAATAATTATCGAGTTATTAACGATAGAAATCTCAGGAGTGCGAGCGCGCCGACATATATGATTGGAAAAGCGTGCAGCCATTTCGATAAGAATGCGGCCCAGTCGATCCAGCAACTGTCATCGGTGCGCGGCGAGGGGAAAGACAACGCGCCGCTATTCGCTATTTTGTTTCACCGCACCTACGTCTCGTGCCGTCAACAGTTGCTAGGTTGCTAGGTTGATTGGGCCGCGCTATGGCCCGAGAGGCTGTAACGCTTCTCCAATCATCCATTTCGGCGCGCGTTCATTCGTCAGATTTCTGTTATTAATAATTCGATAATTATTACAAATCTCACAAAACGATATAGGACTTTTATGTTTGTCTTAACCCGCTCTATGTCTCCACGAACTCTACAATATTAGTTATAAGACATCCTGTATAACACACATGTGCGCGCGCGCCCACACCCGCTCACCCACACATACACACACACATTGTGTAATATTGTTTGGATAGAAAATTAAAATTATAATATCAATATAATTATAATATATGTAATATATATGTTACATAATGTTACATTTCTTTGAATTGTAACAATGCAATATTATATTACTGTGTTTGCTGGTTTATTTATGAGTGGGGGAAAAAAGTTTCATCCTTGTTCTTGCATTCCTCCATAAAAAAAATTTTTATCTTATTTAAACTTAGCTTGTATTTCTCTAATACTGAGCGACAGTTAAAACTTTACAGTTAAGTGTCAAAGTGTTATTCGTATTGAAGGTGATGAGCACGACATATGTAAAGATCATAATTATTTTGTTGCTATGTTAAATATAATATTTTCCTAAATTAATTTTCCTATAATATTTTCCTAATCTAATTTTCAAACAATACATTCAAATGCAAAATGTAAACAAATAAATCTATAAAATGTTCAATTTGTTTCTGCTCTGCAGAATTGGCGACTGTGACGAGAAACGCATCGCCGATACTAGAAGATAAAATGCCAATGTCAGGAGTTGCCACGAACAAAACGAACAGGCAAGCAAAATCGGATGAACTCAAGGCAGAGACGCTAACCATTGTGGACGAAGATGGACGTCGCGAGACTAGTCATGTCGGTGTTGGTGAGTGGAATTCATTGCCGATATTGATAGAACGTCTGCGCGAGGCACTCGAGCTGTCCCTAGCGGCAGGCTGCTGGTGCAGTGACGAGTCAACGCCGACATCGTCGTTAACCGAATCCAATGCCGGCGTCGAAGTTAACGATCAACTTCATACGTGCTGTTCTATGGGACAAGCAGTACTCGTTTGTAACGACGACAATCCTAAGTCAAAAAAGAACGAGCTCAAGTTCCTGGAAGATTTATTGCTAACGGACATCCAAATGGCTTTGTCACGTCTACGCGGGACGCTGGAATGTACGGATGTTGCAACGCTCGCCAAACATGGCGGAGTATCAGATCCTACGAGTAAATTATACCTTCTACGACTGGTATCTAGTCTATTGTCGCGATTGCAGGTGCCGCAAAAAGAGGCAATGACGGCCGACGAGAACAAACTGATCGACATTGCAATAGCACAAGTTGGTACATCAACCATGTATAAAAGACGCCCTATCAGGCATACAATTGGCGTCTCCACTGAGGAGATCGCGTACGCGCGGAAACAGCTGGAGGAAAACAGTGCAAATCTAGTGTGGTTGAATAAAATATCGGCTTCACGACCACGAGAAACATTGTACGTATCTGCATCGAATAACGTATCGAGCAATGCGCCAAATAGCATGTCGAATGACATGCTGAATACCGAAAAACATATAGAGGAAATTTGCGACAAATGCACGAAAGATGCAATTAATCAACGTCAGTCTTTACGTGATAAAAACAAAGAATTCCGCGGAGGTATTGGTTCATATCAGCCGATAACATTCGAAATCGGTGAATCGAATACACTTCCGGATCGACATTGTAGCAGCACGGATAGCGAGGAAATCACAATTAAAAGAACGAATGAAGAACAAAGCCGTGTGTCAAAACTCGCGGCGGTACTCCGGCAACGTGCGGAACAGGTTAGTGCAAGCAACGTCATCAATAATAAGTTCGCTACAAAAAAGTCCAAAATCAAGCGCGCTAATACCGTCGATATACCGAGTTATTTGAAGCTGCAGGCCGGCAGTTTTGGTTGCGACAATTCGGGTTGTGTACAACTACGACGTCCCATTAATGTAGGTGACAAGGTTGCATCGAATACGATTAAAAATGTCACTATGCCGTCGTTCCATCCGCGAACGGAGAATGATAAGAAGTTTCTGGCGCTAATCAATAGAAATACCGAAGTACAAACAACACCTAACGCTGCACCTGCCTTCAAGTCCTTTAGCTATACTAAGACAACTGGTACATTATCAGTGGCAAACGAAAACTGGAACAGTCGATTCTCTAATATCAAAACCGCTTTTAATAAACCGATATCCGTAAACGACGAGAATAAGATCTCTCCTAAATCATGTCCTGCGAAATGTTTTCCGAACGCACTCCAAACTCCGTCTTGGCTAACGAACATAAGGACATTGGACGACAGTATTGGTAACTCAAGTAATGGCTTATCGTTTATCAATACAAACGCATCGAAACCGAACATGGGTTTCAGGCATGCACCCTCATCACTGTTTCAGAAAATTGACAAGTCACATAGCCCGATATTATCTCCAAATTATCATTGTGTCAAAGGCAGTACATTATCAATTGGAAAAACCTACACGACGGTAGTACCTACTCTACACGAGAAAGCTAGAATTATGTGTGATCGAAATAGCAATGTTCAGTCTCAGTCTACCACATTTAAGATCTACGCAAATGAGAATTCCCAGAAACCTTTCTTTTCTCGACCACCATGGATGGAACACGATAGAAACGAAAAGAAACCGAAAAAGATGCTAGCTGAAAACGGGCGACTCGATTATCGTTTTTTTTGCAAGCAATTTGCTCCTTTTATAAATAAAAATACTGTCACGAAGCCTAAGATATCGCAAAATGTTGAGGAACAATATAAGCGAAACGAACACTCGATACAGCGCGAGGTCTTTCTTCCATCTGACGAGAAGATGACTACAACAGATGAAAAAGTAACCTTTGAGATGTCTGCAAAGAAAGAGTCACGAATTCAACAGCATCACAAGTCGAATTATTCATGTCATAAGATCGAGGAACCGGTTCGTGACAAGTTTGATCTTCGGAGTGAGAAAGATGTTTCCGAATCAATGCGTAATCGACAATATAGCGAGCAAGATCTATTAGGAAATATAGTTGATGTGACACACAATAATAGCTCGACCATTGAGACGAGTGAAAACAATAATAACCAATCGAAAGAAATGCACGTATTTCAAGTGGTTTCTAGAGTTTTGAAAAATTTTTCACCCGCCTGTAATGACACATCTGTACAAATTTATAACCAGCCGGAACAACCAGTTACAGATTATGTAGAATCTAAAAAAGAGTGGATGACTCCTCATTACAAATGCAATGAAACTAATTCAATGTTAAACTCGAATTTTCATCCCGCAAAAGATCCGAGAAACTTTGTTCTAGATTACAATTGTAATTATCATACAGTGGCGACGAAAAATGAAAATTCAATAAGTGAACATCCGTGCGATCTTATCGAGAAGCAATCCTCTGTTCACATACTAAATCCATCAGAAATTATGCCTTATCAAAATATTTCCGATTACCATGCATCGGAACAGCACGAGCAAGTTTTCCAAACTGATAATTTTCCATACGGAAACAACTTGTCATCTATGTTAGCAACTAACAATCAATCGCAAATATATCCAAATTATCCTTTGGACGTTAAATCTAATGGAAATCTATTCGAAAGTGAAATATCGAATGTACCACAAGAGATTGATAAACAAGATCATTCTGTTTCATGTATAAACAACGGTAGTCCGTCGGAGGAACAGAGGATCCAAAATCAAGACATAAGCGTAGATGCCAGAGTTGTAACTCGATATACCTGCGCAATAGGAACCGTCGCATCGGCTGATACTTCGGAGATACGATTGGACGAAATGAGACCGGAATTTAGAGTCCCGTCCTCTTCGTCGACTTCGCATTTCCGACCATATGCCAGAGAAACCAGCAACGAGATTACCACAACTGAGAAAGAGATACATCGGCACAATATACTACAGCAGAACTTAGTACGTCGACTGCAAAACGAACGTACAATGCTGAATAATCAATACGCGCATGTCTCCAAGCAGTCTAGCAGTTTTAACCAGTCGTCTAAGTTTCAGTCGTCTGATACGCCGAAATTGGAACTACCGCTTATTAGCAATCTCCTGTCGATACCATCGATATCGAAATCGGGATTTGGTGCAAATCGCGTCACTGTTCTTAAGAAACAATACGAGCAACCAAGCAATCAATTGAAACCTATTCAAAAAGAACGTTCGCCAGTGCTGAACGATGTGAATGGCGTGATGGACTCTAGTGATAAATATCTAGTGTCTTGCTGCAACAAATCGGCTAAATCTGTGGTTCTGTCTAAGTCTGAATCATGGCATCAGTTGGCATTGTCTAACAGTCATCATCCTCTGCCGCATTCAATGCAAGGTGGGTTACCACCAATGTCATCATATCTGCCGAAACTACGAAAACCGAAATCGCCGTCGTTCTTTCGAACGAAGAAGCAATATGAGGCGTCTTTGTCCTCTGACAGTGTGAAGAGGATGGAAGACAAGATACGCAGATATTTCGACAATTCGAACGATAACACGGACGCAAAAAACCCCAAGAAAAAAGATTTCTCGTCTCATGACGTAACAAGAAAAAGTTTGGTTGGCCTTTCCAGGAGTCGTACTATGCCAGGAATATACCATGAAAAGCTGCATTTGTTGATTCCGACTGAATCGCATATTCCTGCGACGAACCTTAATAGCGCTGATGTCGACAAAGTTTTTGACGACATTTTTGAAGAGGCTACCAGAACCGACGATCATCGTTTCTAATCGATCGGTTTCTCGATTTCTTCGTGTGCGTTATAAATTCACATTATGAATTCGCGGCACGCGCTAGAAACTGCTTGTAATAAAAGTGGTATTCCCTTCCCTCATCTGAAACTTCTAATATTTCTTTTTAAAATTACACGAACACAGCATATTGCAGTGGTAGATGTTACGATGGAAAATTGTTTTGTACAATCATCGGTAATCTCAATGCAGATATGCTTGTTGCATAAAAATCAACTATGTGAATTGTTTAATTATTCGTGATTTTGTACGTTGATTCGCGTAGTATATTATCGATAGCTACAACCGCGATGAATCATTCTGGTTTATTTTAATTAGATTAATTTCTTAGAAATTTGCAGATCATTATCATATATTTGTTTACAAATCGTTTGCGAATACACTACAATTATCGATAATTAAAATTTAACTTTTAGTTGACTTGGACTAATTTATTTGGAAAATTGCTTGCATATTGGCAATATTTTTGTTAAAGTAAATCCAGTATTAGCAAATTGCATTTTACATTAACGTCGAGAAGTACCAAAATGTTTCTTTAAAATCTGTTATTTATAGTCGCTTCAGCGAAACTTCCGAAAGCGGCCATGCTCCAATTACAACCAAACTTAGTGAAAAGCTATGTTATAAGTTAAAATGGAAGGTTATAAAAGGATTTTTGGCGACTCAAACGTTATGTGGTCTTTTAAACAATTTTAAGTTGATTAGTACTTTTATCATATTTTATGTCCACATATTAAAACTTAAACACGATTAACGCAATCGGCAGCAACAAATAAAAAAAATACCAAAAAGATTTTTTGCAACTCAATATATTGGCGGAGGCAGAAAGGAGTTATTGGAACCCGACTAGAATTTACACCTCGTGAGTATCTAGTCATGACATAGTAAAGTTGTGTCTAACATAACCAGTAGCTAGTGTGACTAGACAGTGATGAGCTCGTAATGTAACGCTCACTTGTACCAGTAGCTATATGCAATATACCAGCTAGTGACGAGATAAAAAATTAAACAGTCATGAGATAAGAAATCAGAATTAGTTACTAGACAGTAATGTAACGCTCACTTCTCCTAGTGACGATATAATAAAAATTACCTAATAGCTAGACAAAAAATATAACTAGTAGCTAGGTAGTCTGGTACATATAGAGATGAGATAAAAGAAAAAAAATAAAATATATAATTCATCATCCTTCTCTTGATGCAGATTATTTTTTTACATCATACATACCTCATCACTAGATAGACTGTTCTAGTCAGAGTTTATAATCTATATGTTTGTGTTCTTCAAGATGACGGTCGGTGATTTTTATACTGCTACAACAAATATGTTTTAATCTTGTTCAACGTAAGTATCTTAATCTATATTTGTTTTGGAAAAAATCCCTTACCACATTGGGATTTGAACCTGGGATCTCTGGCTCTTCAGTCAATCATCTTACACGCTGCGCTACTGCAACTTCACTGACAAGAGCGTTTCGTATGGTCTATATATGGTGCAGACTCAATATATTGGGTTGGCAACTAAGTGATTGCGGATTTTAAATAAGAATGAAAATTCAAAATTTTTAATTTGCTTTTTTAAATTTTTTTCAATGCATGTATGCGATACATTGAGCTTCTCTGCAATATCACGTGTTGTGCTATGACGATCTGAATCGATAATGGCTTTGATATGGGTCTTATCGACTTCAACTGGACGGCCAGATCGTTGAGCATTTTTTAATGAAAAATCACCAAAACGAAATCTGGCAAACGAATTTTGACACTGCCTTTCTTTCAAGGCTTCATTCCCATATACGGCACATAACTTCTTGTGTGCTTGCGATGCGTTCTTGCCTTTTCGGAAATAATACAATAAAATATGTCTGAAGTGCACGTCTTGCTCTTCCATTTTTAAATTGGGATAAAAACAAACTAAAGAACTAATCGATATAATTTTTGTACTAAATGAAAGGTAGAAGTCCAAACAATAAGAAAAAAATATAGGTTAGGTACTTTGAACACGTTAACGAAACAAAAGAAAGTGTAAAATCCATCTGTCGACAAAATCCGCAATCACTTAGTTGCCAACCCAATACTTATAGCTTATTTGTATAATATATCCATAAAGTTTATAATGTCACCTACGATATCGGTATATGGAGCATTTAATGTCGAGATTATAACATGTTTGTTATGCTTTAATTATATTGTCACTAGGAGAAGCGAGCAATTACAATACTACCTAGTAACTAATTTTGATTTCTTATTTCATGACTGTGTAATTTTTGTATCTCGTCACTAGCTAGTATATTGCATATAGCTACTCACATAAGTGAGCATTACATTACGAGTAACATAGTTATTACAAGAAAATGCTGAAAACGCAAAACCACTTTCACGTGAAACTACCCCTTGAAAAAAATAGCCGTTATCGTTTTTATCAAATATTTTCTAAATTATGAGTCATATGAAAAAAAGTTTCAGACAAAAGTTTTGCAATATTTTATGCTCTTTGCAACCATGTGTTCAGTTTTTTAAAATTTCAAATGTTGAACTATTCCCCCTCATTACTCTGACAAAATTTTTAAGTTTTTGTAAGGACAAAAATTGTAGAGCATTAAATACCAAATCCATCCATACATAATATTAGAGAATGGTATTTAATATTTTGGACAAAACGCAATGAGAAAACTTCATGGTATATGTGCCGCGCTGCCCGAGTAGATAGATACTGTAGGTAGATACGCTGTGATATTTCTCTACAATTGCACTATGCTTCACGACTGCTTGTGCATATTTTCTTATGCTACAATTAATCGTAATGATATGATATACAATATTACACGAAATAAAAATGCTTGAAAACGTGAACAATAGAATAATTTGCATATATAACAGTAGCAAATGTGTATGCAGCATCGATTTGTACAAAAGCTTCAAATGTATATTTTCTTCATTTAATGTGTAAAATTTATGTTCACTACAATCTGAAAGGTATGTCGATTAAGGATAATTAAAATGATTAAAAAAATATTTCATACAATGCACGTGAAATAATGAAACACATTATCATCAGCCTAATTAGAAAACCTCCTAACTTCAATTTTTTATTCAAAATTAAGATACTCATTTTGTTCGATTTATCTCGTCGACTTTGATCGAATAAAATGAGTCTCAATTTTGTCAAAAATTGGAATTAAGAGGTTTTCTAATTAGGCCGACGTTATGTTACCTCTGCAAGCGTGTAGTGTGACAATACAATATATTTTACTAATTGCTGAATGAAACATAACGAAGGGCTTAACAAAAATTACGGAGTAATAATTTATAGGATAGAGAGGAACAATACAATAAATTATAGAAGAATAACACGTTATTATATATATTTCACAATAGTAATAAACAAATCAATACAGTATTTGCATATAAACGAAAAATAAATGTTACATTTATGGCACATATTCGTTGCAAAGGTGGTGATCATGGAAAAAATGTGTGATACAAAGTGATTTTTTGCACCAAGAGCAAATAATTATGACAGTTTCGCCACAAACACCGCATTTTATTTTAGAATCATTTTGGAAACTCAACCGGTGTTTCGAATTCGCCTGGCCTACTCTGTAAATATCCACTTTTAATCCACGCATATTTAAATAAATTGTGAAACCTGGATGACGAGAATTGATGGTGCGTTAATGACTGCAGTTTTTAAATATTGTTTCTAACATGAAGATCAATTGCGGTCTAATAGCATTTCAATATCAGAAAAATGTTTAATAAAATTTTTCCATAATCGAAAGCCATATACATCTAATGGTTGTATTTTTCCCGTTGTACCGGCCGGAATGGTTAGGAAAACAATATCTGATGTAAAATCCAATCTAGTTTCCTGAATTACATTGGGACAATGTCCATTCCATGAATCTAATAATAATACGGATTGCCCGACATTCGGATGGCCCGACATTCGGAAAAAATATTTCTCTCAACCAGGTTTTCATATAATCTGATGTCATTTTACCTGATTACCGGAAGCCATTACAAAAATATTAGGAGCATTGAATAAATTTTCCTGTACTCGCGGACCGAACGTTCCTGTTGGTTTTTTTAATACAATTAACAGAGGCGACAATAATCTACCATCAGCGGAAATAGTTGGCTGTATGGTATAACTATGCGTGGTTGCTGATACAGATTACACTACGGATTCTATTTTCTTTGTACCTTTTTGTGCTAAGGTACGACCGGTGTGAAGTTCTAATTGGAACCCACTCTGATTTGAATTGTAGATATTTTCCACCCCGTATCGATCAATATAATATTTGACATTTGTAATAAATGTATCGCATTTATTTTCTAACTCTGGTTTGGATAACAAGGATTTTTCATGACAAATTTGGTTATTTTCCTAGACACAATATTATGTTTCTTTTTGAATCTTTGTACCCAGCTAGGTGATGCTATGAATCCAGGCATATTTTCCTCTTCTTGTGCTCCATTAGCCCATCGAACAATGTTAATATCATGAATAATGACTCCTTTTTCAAGTGCTTCAGCGAAACGGTTTAATGTATATTCAGAAATTGCTTTTAATTTTTCATTTCTGCTACCACCTGCATTGATATAGTCCTCCCATCGTCGTAATTGTCGAATTGATGTAACTTTTTTGTACCTTCGTCTAACTCCTTCAATCGTTCTTGGTCTTATTTTACCGCTCTTCCAGAATTCCACAGCTTTCCTTTTATAATCACTTGATATTTCTGCTTCAACATCAATACAAATAACTTCTTCTGGAAGATAATCCTCATCTTCATCATGCTCCAACAAATCAACTCTTTTCGCCTGTAGGGTCTCATTTGTATCATAGAAATCAAGTGTTTTCTCCTCTTCCAGAATGTTCATTTTATTTTCCATGTCTGTGAGCATATTTACAATCTTCTCTTTCACTTCCATTTCTTCCGAAGTTAGTAGAACCGGAGTTTGTAGAAGGTTACGAGCAGTGAATGTTGCATATAGCAACAGTATAACATTCCATGGGTCAAATAGAATCATTCTACAAAATATTAAAATTTAACTATTGTTTAACCCTTTAGCTACGGCGGTTCGGTCCGTCGTAGCGCCGCCACTGAACTGGACCCCGCGCCAAAAGTGTACACATTGCGCGTGGACAGTTTATCTTGGAAGAAAAGGGACTTTTCTTTAAAACAATATACTCATAACTTCTACATAAAAGATATAAACTTATTTAATGAATATAAAGAGTCTGATTAACAATTGAAAATAGTGAAAGAATAATATACAGTGATTAATAATTTAATTCAGTATGATATGTTTTGAAACATGGAAACACACACACAAACCCAACATCACATTCCTGGCATTGATAACGAGATTCTCGTCTCTTATCGTTTTTCGTACACACAACACACCTTCGTGATCTATTTTTTCCTGTAGCTTCATAAAGTGAAGGAAAATGTCTTCCGTTGAGTCTTGATGAGTGATTATTTCCGGGTGTAATAGGATGATGGGTTGTTTTTTCTAATATTTCTTTAAAATTCTAGTAATTTCAGTTGAAATTTTGCAGTTGATATTGTTTTGCTGGTTTTCAATTTATATAGACAATATGAATTCCATAAACACATATCAATCATATGGAAGAAATCGTCGAAATGGTCACATCGTGCATGCCGGATATATCCAGCGTTCATCTTCGGGGAGTTATTATTTGGATGCCAGATATATCCGGCGTTCGTCCCCGGAAGGCTATTATGTGGATGCTGGATACATCCGGCGTTAGGAGCGAAAGGGTTAATGCTGCTTCGGTCTTCCGTATATTATAATATTAATAACTCCACAAAGTGTATAATAATTTAAATAATATAAATATGAAGAGTGACAAGCGTAAGACAATAATACAATACAATAAATATTTACATAATTTCACAAAATTATAGTGTATAACACACTTCTTTACACTATGAACTCATGAAATGAACTGCCCGTTTTCAAATATTACAGACATTTTTATAGTCTGCATAGTGCGCAATATGATTAGATGAGCCAATTATAGTGCGCATGACGTTCACATGAGTCTGTTTCATGCAAAATGAAAACAAAATTTATTTATAGAAGTAAAGTATAAATAAATTGTTTTTGATGCACTGCGACACAGTTGACTTTGCTTTGTATACACGGCATTATAAATGCTCAGAAATAAATATACAACTTATAATTATATATAATTTATAATTATATATAATTATATATAAAATATGTTCGCATATTATTATACATAAAGATATAAAATTATATATAAATTGTCATATAATTACACATATTTATATATAAGATGATATAATTTATGTATGAGATTATATATAACCATATATAATTATGTCAAATTAAATATTATTTTATTTAATTATATTTAAACAATTTCCCGAATGATAGGGAAACTTTGGGCATAATGAGACCACGAGGCATAATGGAGTATGGTCAAAAACTTTTTACGGAGATGCTGTCATGCAATTAAACGTTTTGCCATTATTACTGTTAAATATCTCTTATCACATACCATTATTAATTGTCATATTATTTTTAGTTGAAAGATGCTACAAATTGTTTAACCCGTTTCGGACGAAAACGCCACTCTCGGTATACCGCTCTTTGGCGGCTCATAACTAATACTATTTATGTCTGAAAAATTCGAGAGGTACATATTTTTATAGTTTAAGATGTGCCCTTTCTGATAGTGTCCATAAAATTTCTCCAAAAAATTGTTAATTATGGAAAAAACAGTTTAAAACAAAAAAACATGATTTTTTCGCACTTTTTTTTTTTAAATCGAATTTTCTAAGGGTTTCCTGTCTGCAATGACCCTAGAACCCCACTAAACGGTGGAATAAACGTTTAAACTTTAATAATATGTGGTTTGGAGATCGATTTTACTCCTTAATGTATTCAAAATGGCGCCTAAACTGCAAAATTTTCGTGAAAACATTCATGAATTTTTTATTGAAAAATGATGTATTTTTACGAAAAATTGTCAAGAATAAAAAGTTCTTAAAATCACTCAAAAAATGCATTCGAATTTTTTGAAAATATTTCGAGCAATTTTTTTGATTTTGTAAATAGTCAATTTTTGCAAAATTGAAAAAATTGCTCAAAAAATTCCGAAAAAATTTGGGTGCATTCTTTGGCTAATTATAATAACTTTTTATTCTTCACCATTTTTCTCATTAGTGCATTATTTTCAAGAAAAAAACTTCCAAATGTCAAAGTAGTATCGGATCATGAAAAGGTGTGATATATTCGCACATCTATCGTCAATCCGCCGCAAACAAAGTGTACATTGCGTTAAAATTTTAGAAAGATTTGCGTGATGGTTTTTGAGATAATTAATTTCGTGTTTATATACACGAGCTCTTATGGGTGGGACAAGAAATTCCGCAGTAAATCCATCGCATCTTATCAAATGATAAGAAACGAAAAAAAAAATAAACATACGATAATTAAAGTGAAAAATTTTTCTTTTCATTTCCAAACATTAAAAAACTCACTTACAGCACTGTCTTTTAAGTATTTGATAGAATAGACAATGAAACGACTTTTATTAGCCAGCAGCATTATAATTTATCACTTGTACCAAAACTGTAGCAGGCGAAAATCATTAGAATCATTTTATTCTACGTGATCAACTTACTATTCAGTTTTTCGACATTTTAATTTAGACTATAAAATAATATAGCTTTTTGAAATAGTAGAAACAATTTTTTAAGTTTGTATCGCGCAACTGGTCCCGTGTACATAGTAGGTGAACCCAGTGATCCCACGTATGGTCCGTTTGGTAGCACGCCGTAGCCGTAGGAGGGGTAACGCATACAAGCGCGCGTCGCGTACGTGAGCGCGAGAGGCGTCGGAGTCCGACTTTTTCTCTTGAAAATAATGCACTAATGAGAAAAATGGTGAAGAATAAAAAGTTATTATAATTAGCCAAAGAATGCACCCAAATTTTTTCGGAATTTTTTGAGCAATTTTTTCAATTTTGCAAAAATTGACTATTTACAAAATCAAAAAAATTGCTCAAAATATTTTCAAAAAATTCGAGTGCATTTTTTGAGTGATTTTAAGAACTTTTTATTCTTGACAATTTTTCGTAAAAATATATCATTTTTCAATAAAAAATTCATGAATGTTTTCACGAAAATTTTGCAGTTTAGGCGCCATTTTGAATACATTAAGGAGTAAAATCGATCTCCAAACCACATATTATTAAAGTTTAAACGTTTATTCCACCGTTTAGTGGGATTCTAGGGTCATTGCAGACAGGAAACCCTTTGAAAATTCGATTTAAAAAAAAAAGTGCGAAAAAATCATGTTTTTTTGTTTTAAACTGTTTTTTCCATAATTAACAATTTTTTGGATAAATTTTATGGGCACTATCAGAAAGGGCACATCTTAAACTATAAAAATATGTACCTCTCGAATTTTTCAGACACAAATAGTATTGGTTAAGAGCCACTCTGTACCGAGAGTGGCGTTTTCGTCCGAAACGGGTTAATGCGTTTGCTACGTTCTCCGCATCTCTGTTACAATTTGCTACGTATATTTATACAAGTTAAACTATGACAAAATTCTTTTTTCGTTTTCATATGAACATTAACGTTATTAAACCATCTTTTCTCGTCATTTTAATCAAATTCCTGCATAAACACCGATTATTTCTAACGTTTTATATTACATAATTTAAACTTACACATGTCTGGGCATAATGAGATTATACCATTATGTTCTTAAAACATTAAGTTATATTATTTCTGATCGTATACTTGTTTTATTTTATATAATGAATTATATATATATTTTATTGAATATATAATGAATACGAAATATAAAAGCTGGACGCTAGCCAGCTGAAAGCTGGACGCTACCCAACTGAAAGCTGAAAGTTGGACGCCAGCCAGCTGAAAGCTAGAAGCTTGGCGTTTCAAATTTTAGGGGATAATTTTTTTGTTAGCAATTTATTTCTGTCAAATTAATGACCGAATACGTTTTCATACGTATTAATTCAATAATTTTATTAATATTATATAAAACATTTTTTAGTTTAGTTATACGCGCTTTACAATTGTCGTTAAAATTTTACAAGCCACTAATTGTATATATAATTGTCAATCATAAATTTGATAATATTAGGTTGGGGAAAAAGAAATCCATTATTTTTTCGTTTATTTCAAGGCTTTATTTAACATAGTTAGGATTGTTCGATTTTGGTCAAATAAGCACTGTTTTGTTCTACAATTTGTCGCCATTTTAAAGATAATTTTATGATCCCTTTTTCATAGAAGCCCTGGTCCTTATTTGCAAAAAACTCGACTAAGCGATTTTCACAGTCTTCTCTTGAGGTCAATTTCTTATCATCAAGGAAGTTTTGCAATGACAAAAGCAGATGGTAATCGCTTGGTGTCAGGTCCGAACTATAAGGTGGATGCATCAAAACTTCCCAACCAAGCTCCCGGAATTTTTGATGAGTCACTATAGACGTATGTGGCCTGGCATTGTCCTGATGAAAAACAATTCCTCTCCTATTGACCAATTCTGGCCGCTTCTGGTCGATCGCTAGCTTCAAACGGTCCAATTGTTGACAATAGAGGTCCGAATTTAGTGTTTGGCCATATAAAAGCAGCTCATGGTGGATGATTCCTTTATAGTCCTACCAAACACTCAGCAAAACCTTTCTGGCCGTTAATCCTGGTTTGGCCACCGTTTGAGCCGTTTCGCTGCGCTTTGACCACGATCATTTTCGCACAATTGTCATATGCAATACATTTCTCATCCCCAGTCACCATCCGTTTCAGAAATGGCTCGATTTCGTTCCGTTTGGTCAAGGCTTCGCAGATTGAAATTCGGTCCATCATGTTTTTTTGCGTCAATTCGTGTGGCACCCAAACATGGAGCTTTTTTGAATCCAGCTTTATGCAAATGGTTTAAAACTGTTTTGTGGTCGATCTTCAGCTCCTGGGCGATACTACGACTGCTAACATGCCGGTCTACTTCGATCATTTCCATAATTTTATTGACATTTTCGACGGGCCTGCCTATGCGAGATGCATCTTTAACATCAAAATTACCGGAACGGAATCGACGAAACCAAAATTGCACGTGATTGGCTGTGACAGTATCGGGACCATAAACACCATTCACAATTTCAGCCGCCTGGCTTGCATTTTCGCCTTTATCAGCAAAATTGTAAAATATACCGAATTTTCTCTTCGTTGACGTACATCTTTTACGTGCTGTAACTCACAGCTTAATCGACAAATCACAAAACCGTTAAAGAATTTTTTTTAGTACGTAGAATGTCACTTTTCCAACGAGTATAAATATTAACCTATGCGATTAATATATCACGTGATATATATTACTAAAGCAATATAGTGGAAAAATAATGGATTTCTTTTTCCCCAACCTAATATATTATTAAATTATATTATGCGCTAAATAGGTGAAATCATATTTGACAACATTTAAGCGATAATATAAAATTCATTCACACACATACATAATAATATCTTACAATAAACATATTAGTATATCTAGTTAATATTTTTTTAATTTTGTGTTATATTATCAAGATATTCAATGCACTTCATGCATAACGCGCTTGCCCTTTTTTATTCACTTTGACTTTTCTGTAAAATTGCAGTATAAACATAAATTTCACAAATACGTGATTCAGGAAACAAACGAGAATAAAAAGACAATTGAGCTAGTATGCTGTTAATCGTGCGTCAATTATTTACTTTTAATAATCATAGTTAAAATCTACAAATATCCATACGTATGTTCCAGTCGTAATTTTTCGACTTTTTTCGATAGTAAAATATAAAAATTATAATTCGTGATATTTGTGTGATAGTTCATTCGGAAATCGCGGAGATATTAGGAGTACAAATAAGTTTCCGCCGTTTGACAAAAGATAGCCCCACAGGAGGTTATGTTGAAATTGTCAGATGTAAAACATAATATCGTAAGTTTGGATATCTGGTAACAACATAACCTTGAAGTATTAATAACTCCGTATCAGCAATCATAATTTTTTTCGTGCGAAAATGTTAAGTTTTATGCCGAATAAGCGTCATTTGCGGGAACTTTTGATTTACTTCTTTAATTTGAAGAAATCTGCAGCTGAGGCGCA